TGTAGGCCAACCTGTTGTCCGTAACCTTGAGTATTTGTTTTGGTTTCATATCGATCAAACACTTTAATACTTTATTTGAGCCCATTCTAGGCTTGGTTGTTGGTCTTCACTCTTAACAAGCTGTTTGGAGCTGTCTAGAGCATCAATTTTCCTAGCAATCTGTTGCTCACGTGTCTATCCTTCGATTTCGCTTATTGTCTCTTACTAAGGATAATCGGTCCATCTCTGACTATCTACTCTATGCCAAGTCCTTGGCTTCAATTGGCCAACCAATGTCCAACGATGATTTAGTGACTTATGTTCTTCGTGGTTTGGGGCTGGGCTATGAGATGATTATGATTGCAACTCAATACTTTCCCCTATTACCTTCGTTTCTGGACCCTTTGTGCTCGCCTCCTATCCTTTGAGGCTTAAGCATCTGTTGCTATTCCATCTCCACAAACTGCTCTTTTGGCCCAATAGTATCGTGGTAACCAAACCCATCCTAGTTCTGGACAAGGCACTAGTTTTGGTAATCGTGGGGGACATAATAGGAATCGAAATCGCAACAGGGTTTGTCACAACCATAGTAATTGTGGTTCTGGAGCTTATCCAGGTTCTGCTAGATCTTCGAGTTCCTTCTGTCAGTTGTGCAATGGTGTTGGGCACATGGCTCTTCAGTGTCCTAGGTGGTGTACTCGCCCACCTGCTGACCCTCTTCATACAGCCTTTGCTGGTCTTTAATTGGCACAACAATCTCTTCCATTGACTTACCTGCCCCAAGCTTGTCAGCAGCAGCCCTCTCCGTCACCCTTTCAACAATCACATTTGTCTTATCAGCCTGAGACAGCTTATGACGTAAACTGGTATCCTGATACTGGTGCTACCCATCACATGGCTAGAGATGCTTGCCCTCTGTAGAATCGTACCCCGTACACTGGATCAGATCCAGTTTTTCTTGGCAGTGGTGATAATCTTCCTATCACCCACATTGGTAACATGTCTTTACCCCTTGGTTCTTCTTCATTTCAGCTTCCCAATGTTTATCATGTTCTTGCTATGCGTAAGAACCTTCTATCGGTTGCTCAATTTAAGAATAATCATGTCTTACTTGCCTTTGATGCTAATCATTGTTACATTTTGGACTTGGCCTCTGATGCTCTTCTATTTTAGGGCCTATGTAGGGATGAACTCTATCCTCTACCATATGTTCATCCTGTTCCATAAGCTCTTGCTTCTACTATCTTGCCTTTGTCAGTTTGGCACAGTCGTCTTGGTCATCCATCTCACAAGGTTTTGTCTTATTTGGGGTCCAACAAAATCTTATCTTCTGATTTTGGCTTTCAAAAATCCTTTTGTAAGGGATGTGCATTTGGGTAAATCCACACATCTTTCCTGAAATAAGTGCCTTTGCTCCTTTTGAATTAGTTCATTCTGATGTTTGGCAATCTCCAGTCCTTTTAGTATCTGGATATAAATATTATGTCTTATTTACTGATGACTTCAAGCGTTACACTTGGTTTTATCCTATGCATCACAAATTAGAGGTTATTATCCATTTTAAAACCTTTCTTGCATCTGTTAAAAATCATTTTGATAGTTCTCTAAAGTGATGGAGGAACAAAGTATGTTAATTCTTCGGTTTTTGAATTATGCATGACTCTAGGGATTCACCATCGCCTTTCATGTTCTCACACTCCAGAATAAAATGGTCTAGTTGAACGCAAGTATCGCCACATCTCTGAAATGGCCCGTACTCTTCTTGTGTCCAGTTGTGTCCTACTCAATCTTTGGGTTGAAGCAGTGTCCATTGCGAGCTATCTTATTAATCGCTTTCCTACCCCAGTCTGGCAATGGGAATACCTTTTTTCTCATCTGTTTGGCCATCCACCATGTTGAACTGATCTTCATGTCTTCGGGGGTTCCAATTACCCACATCTTGGTGCTTATGTTACTAACAAACTATTGCCAAGATCTATTGAATGTGTTTTCATAGGTTATAACTCCCAGCACAAGGGATATTGATGCCTTGATCCAGTAACCAATAGGGTCTACATGTCCCATCATGTATGCTTTGATAAGGCAACATTTCCTTACACTCAAATTCAATCTGTCTCCCACTCTCAAGAAACTTCATATCTTATCTTTGTGACTGTCCTCCCTCTAGCAGCTACATGTCAGTGTACTTGCAATCCACCTCTCCAGCAAGCCCCTGATTCATCCACCTTAGATTCTCCCACTGCCAGTATTCCTGCATCCAGGCTTATTGAACCTTTTCCACAACACTATCAGCGCTGTTCCACGCCTATGATACACTCCATGCCAAGCTCTCCACCAGCACCATCAGGCTCTTTACCTGATGGGTCCTCTTCAAACCTTGGGTCATCTTTGTCAACACCAATTCAAATACATCCCATGGTCACTTGTCTTCATGATGAGATCCAGAGACCATTGGTTCACATGGATGGCACTGTGCACTATCCTTTTCTGCGTGCCCTTGCAGCTCAGCTTTCCTCTTCTAGTGGGGAGCCTACTTGTTTTTCTCAAGCTGTTTGATATCCGGAATGGCAGGCTGCTATGAACGATGAATTTAAAGCTTTACTTAAAAATCAAACTTGGACCATGGTTCCTCCTTCCTTGCGTCAGAATGCAGTTGGTTACAAGTGGGTTTTCAAGATTAAACGTTTAGCAGATGGTTCTATTGAACATTACAAGGCTCGCTTAGTGGTTAAGGGTTTTCACCAGCAACATGGCCTTGATTATGATGATACATTCAGCCCCGTGGTTAAGCCAACTACTATTTCGTACTATTGTTAGCTTGGCCGTTTCTTCTGGTTGGTCTCTACGATAATTGGATGTCAAGAACTCTTTTTTGAATAGATTTCTTGAAGTGACTGTTTTTATGACTCAACCGGCAGGGTTTGTAGACCCCCAATGTCCTAATCATGTTTGCCAACTTCTTAAGGCTATCTATGGTCTCAAACAAGCACCTCGCTCTTGGTTTCAACAGTTCAGCTCCTTTATTATTCAGTATGGGTTCACTCAAAGCCGAGCTGACTGCTCCATGTTGGTATATCGATCCTTGTCTCAAGTTATGATTCTCCTATTGTATGTGGATGACATTGTGCTTACCGGAAATGAGTCATCTCTGCTCTCCCCCTTTGTTTCTACTCTTGGCACCGAGTTTGAGATAAAAAAAACCTTGGCCCCCTCCACTACTTTTTGGGTCTTGAGGTGTCCTCACTTGGTTCTGGCCTACATTTATCCCAAACTAGGTATACTATTGATCTTTTGTGCAGTAGTTCTATGGTGGAGTGCAAACCGTGCAATACTCCCTTGAGTGCAAATACCCAATTCTCTGCCCTAGAGGAGGATCCCCTGTCTGATGCTGCCAAGTATCGTCACATGATTGGTTCTCTACAATACCTGACCCTGACTCATCTAGACATTGCGTTTGCGGTTCATCATGCTGCTCAGTTCATGAGTGCCCCTTGAACCAAACATCTTGCTGCTGTTAAGCGCATTCTACGCTATCTCAAAGGCACTTTAGATATTGGGTTAGTTTTTCGCCCTTCCTCTGGTCCTTTAGCTCTTCATGCCTACTCTGATGCTGACTGGGCTGGATGTCTTGATACTTGGCGATCCACTTCAGGCTATTGTATCTTCTTAGGTCCAAACCTCATCTCTTGGAGTGCCAAGAAACAGTACTATTTCTCATTCTAGGGCTGAGTCAGAGTACCGGTCCCTAGCTTGTGCAAGTGCTGAGACGGTTTGGATTGTGCACCTTCTTCGCGAGTTACTTACCTTTTTCCACACCAGTCACGCTCTACTATGATAACCTTAGCACCACATACATAGCTTCCAATCCTGTTTTCCATGCGCACATCAAACATATTGAGTTTGATTATCACTTCATTCGTGAACTTGTACAATCTGGCAGCCATCACATTCAGTTTGTTCCATATGCTGATCAGATTGCTGATCTCTTCACTAAGGGGCTTCACAAGCATCGCTATGAGGTTCTACATTCCAAACTTGCCCTTCCTAGGCCGTCGAGTTTGCTGGCGAGTGTTAGGCAGCCCCCTTAGCTGTCTATTGATTCTTTCCTTATTTGTATATTTGCAAATATTCTGTTACATATATTTAGGCCTAGATTTAGGATTATCTTTGATTATGATTAGACCTAATTTTTGTAATGCCTTTTTTATACTCATTGTATATACCTCTATTGAGATGAATACAATTACTGAATTCTCAAATCCTTACAGTTTTATTAGGTTTTAGTAGTTAGTATTTTGATATTTTTTTCCTAATTATTGGACATGGGCTACAGGAGTTGCCAATGGGTCATCTTATGGCTCAAACTATGTTGTAGGATCACTGTGTGGTTTCATTAGGGCCTAGAATAGTTTAGTAGTCAAAGTTGAAGTATCTTAGTCTTTAAATTCTAATCCTAGTAGGAATTAAGAAAGCCAGCAGGCAGTAGCCTATAAATATACATGTAATCTTGCTAATCCGTCGGGTTTTTTACACCCGTAATTGTTATTGCAAAATAAAGTTTAATGACTGATTTGTGGAAAGAGTTGTTTTCACTTGGAGAATCTGATTTCCAAAAATTGTCATGCAGAGCAGGTCTTCCCCTTTTTTAGTGGAAGAGGGTTTAGAAGATGAACTTTGTGGTGAAGAGTCACCTTGTTATAGAAAAGGGCTTTCCAAGACTACTGGGGGCTCTTGAGGCCTTCTTGGAGATGAGATGATAATATTACTAATACTTTCTTGCCAACATTTTTCCAGAAGAGCATATTGCCCAAGTTTATGATATTGCCTTTACTTTTTATTGGCACAAAATGGTATTTCTTGTGTTTAAAAATCTGGAAGAATCTCTGTTTTTTCCTGAGTTCTGATGCAAGTAACTAAGAGTAGGCTTTGTAACATGTATTTGTAGATACCCATCTCAAACACGCTTACAGAAAGATTTTTCACCATGCTTTTTTGACAAATTTTTTTTTGCCTGTTTTCAGGTACTACAAAGAGAAGCAAGGTTAGGTTGATGTTCGTGTGAGTTTGGCTAGTTTATTTTATCAGCTTTTATACGACAATATGGTGAAGGATGGTGAAATTTGTTGCTAGTATATGGAACCATCCAGGATGTCTGCATGCAGATCTTGTCTATTATTTGTTGCTTATGGCCACTCTGATTCCTTCCAAGAATTCTTATCATAGCACAATACCTATGTATTTCAGATTGTGCAAAAACATCATCATTTGCTTAGGCAGTTGATGTAAAAAGCCCCTGTATTGGCATCTACTATGTATGAAACTCAGTTGGATTGATTTTTGAATTTTTATAGTGGTGGAAATCTCCATTTTCTTGTATAACACAACAATGAGGGAGTACCTCATTCACTAGACCATCCCTTGTCCCCTCCAACTCCATTTGGGTGAATGCTAATGTTTGTTCACAAACCTTATGGTTTTATTTTTTGTTAGAGGGTTGTTATAATGAATTTTAACCATTTTTCTCATTTTTTAACAGATGCCATGTATATATGTAGGATCTACCATAGCGCTGCTTGTTTGGATTAAAGTAGGAGTTGAAAAACCTAGTGAAATTTATTAGGTGACAAATATTGTTATCTCTATGCTGTTATGCAACAATTTATTGCTACATCAGAGCTGCTTCGATGGTCAAGTAAAACTCTTGCTATTGTTAAAAAATAGCAAGAAGTCCAAAAATCAATGGTGAAGTAAAACCATTAAGGTTGAGTATGGTTTGGTTTAGAAGTAAATTAAGGGCTGAACCATTACTTGCAATTCTATGAAATTAAAAACTAAATCATGATAATTTTGCAACCAAATCATGCTGGCCGGTAAAATGCTGCATTTTTTTAGAAATTTTGCTATCATTCACAACATGATTACAAAATGTTACTCATAATTTAAGAATTGTTTAGATGATTACACGCTTACAGAAACTGAGAATTATAACTTTTGTATGTATATTTTGATACAAAGATAGGGTAAATTAGTGACAAATTTATTAGTAAGGATTTGTAGTTTAATAAGTCTAGTTAATAAAATTGATTGGTAAGTGTCTTCATAAGATATTTGATTGTATACGATAAGTTTTAAATTTGTATGTTTATATTTAAATGGTCTATTTTTATTTCAAATTGGATCCGTATTTATATAAAGTCACTGATCAAACTGGGAAGTATGATTCACTTATTTTAAGAACTAAAATCAAGTCTTGTATTGAGAAAATCAAATCAAATCAAACCTGGATTAGATCGGTTTGTAATTTTTTAAAAAAATTTAGTCAGTTCTACCATCAACAATGTTACATGCATAGACTTTTGATACATAAAATGTATAGAAACTTTCACATGAACGTGGGGCTCACACATGTGGAATCCACTCATATGAGAGATTCTACGCATCAAAATTCTATATAAATAATGTTTTTCGCCTTATAACTTTAGCATCTCTGGTGGTTAAATATCTAAATTGTTAGGTTTTACTATATTTTAACAATAAAAAAAATGTGAGAATGCTATATGCTAAAAATGTTATTCTTATGGTGCAAATGCTTGGTAGCACTTGGTAGAGTTTTCTAAATATGATTTGAGAATAGGACTTGTATTTTTAGTTTGTGAGTTTTGGAATTATAATTTGAGTGTAGAAAATTTATTTGGTGAATGAGTTTTGAAAATAATTTTGAATTGAGTGAGGAATTTTTGATGTGACATATGATATCTGATACAAAAACTTACAACTTATAACCAAACACATAACTCAAAAATTTATTAAAAGCTCATAATTTTTTTTTTTAAAATTTCAAAAATATTGTTTTATTAAAAATATAAAAAAAATAAAATAAAATAATCGCACTGTTCAGGTCAACTGGCCAGTCGACCGACCGGACGTCCGGAGGGACGATCAGTAGGCAAAATTTCAAAATTTAAGAGCCTGCCTAGAATGAGTTTTCAAAAGAAGGGGTGAAATTAATTTTTTAAAACTCAAACCAAACATCATACTAAAATGTAAGGGTAGAACTATGATCCCAAAACCCTTCCAAACATTTTTCCTTACAAAATGCCAAATGGATTGTAGAAATAAAGAGGGTTGTCAGATTTTAGCCAGTCATTGGAGAGTTCAAAATTGAGATCCATATAGTTTTTGACAATAGCAAACCTTTTGATAGCAGTGTTATTCTTTATGTTATATTTGACACAAGAAATAGTTGCAGGTAAAATTACTAACTCATCAAATAGAGAAAGAGTTGTGATTAAATGGGAAAATTCACAAATCAATAATTGTGATTAAAGCAAGAAAATATAACAAAAATACTATTGGAACAACATTATTTTATTATAATGACAATTTATTCATTATTAAAATATAACAATAGTTTAGTGTTTTAACAAGTAAATAGTTGGAAATGCTCATTTTGGATTATAATTGATAGTCTAAGGAGAAATGCTCCACTCCAATTCTTATTAATTAGAGAATCTCCCAATTCCTATTTTCAATAGCAGCAATGGTAAAGGGTCACAAAAACAGTAGCTCAAATGGCTTAAAACTGTCAAAACGACGTCGTTTTGGGCGCAAAACCTACCAAAACGACGTCGTTTTGGCAGTTTTGAGCCATTTGAGCCACTGTTTTTATGGCGCTCAAACATTTTTCTTTCAATAGTTATGATTTGTCTACATCATCAAATTTCATCATATTCAACAAGCATCAGAAAATTTCAAAATTTAAAATAAACTGAAATTGCTGATATAAACGGACCTGACCATTTAAAGGAACTTGGCGCATCCTCCCATTAAAAAAAAATTATTCTATATCACATGTGACAATGTCACAAATATATTTGGACTATCTATCTATGTGGATTCTAAGTGAGTCTCACATGAATGAAGAGTTTAAATTTATTTGTGATATGACCATGTCAAGTCAATCACATGACAATGAATAATTGCTCTCCTATTAGAGAGGGAAGTCTCCAAGCACAAAGTGAATCGATACTCAAGTCAACTTTGTTGATGTGGGCGAAGATTGTAGACATTTAGAAGAGGTGGTTTGTGACAAAGTGGACCATGCTCATGGAGTCAGGCTTTCAATTGGTAAGTATGTACGTATTGTTTAGGTAAGATGATAAAAGGTTTGGAATCCTAAAGTGTAAGGTCATTTTTCATTGTAAGAAAAGTAAGCACTCCATAACACAATATATAATGACAATTAAGATTTCAATCCAAAAAATGATTTTTATGTTGAAATATGGACATACTCGTTGACATGGGTTTAATTTTTTTTTAGAGAGAATTACACCGATATGATGTCAATAAAACATATTGACTAAAAAATAAAAAATATTATAAATTTTTTAATCTCTGACATTACTGTTAGATAATTGTCTTTTTTTTTTTTTTTTTTTTTTTAACGAAGACACACTATAATCACTGTTGAGAATAAAATGTTGTGCTGCCACTTACGTTTTTTCGATGAACAGAATCCAACTGTTGTTTATGCTATAGAACTTAAAAAATAAAATAAAATAAAATCCCTGCGCAAAAATTACTTGTGTTATCATTTTTTCTTAGCATTTTAAATTTTTATAAGTTACCCTTTGCTACATCTAGCATGCCCCCAAAATTTCATTGCCTGCTTCATTTGTACCTATATATTTTAAATTTCATTTATTTATAACAGCAATAATAATTCTTAGAACAAATTACAAATACACCTAATGAAGTTTGCTTAAAATATGGATTGTGCCTTGCGACTTGAAAAATTGCAAATAGTCTCTATCATAATTTTTTATTTAACAGAATTAACTAAAAAAATAAAATTTTAACTGCTTTTCTATACAATGTTAAAATTACATAAATTATTAATTGAAATAAATTTCTGACATCATTAAAAACTATTAATTGACTTTTTGATTTATTAATAAAGGGCTTTTGTTATGAAATTAGAAACTTTAAAGGATGGATTGTAATTTCCAAAACTATATGGTGGAAATTGTATTTTAATAAATTTTAGGGGATGTATTTGTAATTTATCCCGGTTCTCATTATTAATTAGCCTAGCACATGAAATAAATAAATAAATGCAGTGCGTAAGAACATGTAGCTTTCATAGCTCAGTTGGTTAGAGCACCCGTTTAGTAAGCGGGAGGTCTTGAGTTCGACTCTCAATGAAAGCAACTTATGTTTTTGGGTTTTTCACTTTTCTCATTTGTAGTCTCCTCCCTCCCTCACCATTATTCATTACAAAAACTAGGCCTCTTTAATAATTACATACATGTTGAAGAACTTGGAGAAATGATACATATTGAAATGTTTATCAAAGCAGTTCACTAGTTTTTTGTTTTTTATTTTTTGTACATTTTGAACATTTCAAAAAATTTGTTTTTGTTCCATCTTATACCCAATTTGGAGATTTCTTCTCTCAAAAGTTGCCTGACTACTTGAATATAACTCAACACAATTCAGAAAATGATACTAAATTCAGTTGTAACTGAGATTCTAAATTGAGTTTAGACTTTCATATTGTATTTATATCGACCAGTGTCCTGCGTAATTTGCGAGAAATAATATCTTACAAGTTGAAAACCCCCCCCAGAAAAACTGGTACCTTCTCAATTCTGATCCTTGATCGCGGGCCTAAAAACAGACAGCATACAATCACACATTATTATCCTTATTATTATTATATTTTTCCAATAGAAAAAGAAAAGTCTCTGGGGGTATGAAACCCCCATATCATCATCATACAATTGATTAGCAATACAACTATGAAAAATATACAACCCATCAATTATATAATATGAGTTAATTGTCACTATTACGAATGGTTCATGAGGTACCTGCAAACACACAAGATTAATTTACTAAGCTGATGAATATCTAATAATCAACTATTTCATGAGATGTGCATGCGTTTCCACTTCTAGGTTGTTCAATCCCCAATCAACAGTAGGTTTTAACCCGTCTGTTTGTGCTCCCAATTCAGCTACAATGCCAGAGATCACTCCACTGTTTTCTACATAAACCCTCGACCCATCTGCCTAAGATATCCCCAAAGATCCCTCCACTGCGTGCCTTGCCAGGGCTTCCTTTAGTTGCAACAGAAAATGTGCTTACTTGGACAGAAAACGTTTTACCAACACCACGCTACTACCACTACCAATTACAACGACCACTGACACATTAGTTTCAAAATTGCAACCAAACACAGTAAAACATTTTCTATGGAAATAAATGAAGCGCAAGTAAAAACCAATTTAGAAGTACAAGAACAGAACAATTTAATGCTGCATTAGATTTCAGATATACAATTTCACAAAGTGCACAGAGCAGTTACAACCCATGTTTCTAAGATGACTGATAGCTGACTCCATGCTTAGCGACCAAAAAAGAACAGAATATTGTACTTCGGGATAAAAAATGATTCTGGAAATCATTACGAATGGTTCTGTAGAATCCACAGGGAAAGATAGTACCAAACAGCAGCACAAAAAGAAACAAAGGATTCTTGTTGCTTGATGAAGAGTGGTAACGGAATATTGTACTTTGGGGATAGCAATGATTCTGGAAATCATTACGAATGGTTTCGTAGAATCCACAGGGAAAGATAGTTCCAAACAGCAACACAAAAAGAAACACAGGACTCTTGTTGCTCGATGAGAGCGGTGATTAGAAACTTTGAATCCTTCCACAATAGAATTTGACTTCAAGAATAAGTGAGCAAGCAATACACTGCCCTTATTCATAGCTGTGTGAGTTGGCTTCTTCTCTGTGCAGAAGAATAGTAATGTGACTCAAGCTCCTTTAGGCTAGCAGCCGCCTCCTCTCCAATTCTAGCCAACATGTGATCTGTTTTCTCCGCCTGTTGGTTAAACTCATCTATTCGTTGGTCTACGTGGTCGTTGAGGGATGCAAAACCAGAAAAGATTGCTGTCTGTTTCAACTCCGACACCAACTTAAGTAATGAGTCAGCTGCCTGAACCTGTTCATGCATCAGGAGAGAAAAAACGGTGAAAAAAACAAAATGACATTGAGAAACCAGAAACACGATACAGAAAAACAGTTTTTAACCAATTGATTCACAAATCAACTGATACACACAAATTTCGACCAAATTCTACATAATCACACTGTTCTGTTAAGAGTACTACTTTGTGAATAGAACCCAAAATCTGAAGAACATGAGAAGCTAAGACCATTTGCATGGAATGATTTGATGAGAAATGATAAGAAATGAGGACAAACAAAATTCTTTCTCATGTTCAGTTTACAAATCTTGTAAGAAATTGTGAGAAAGGGTTAGAAATAGAGAGAAAGAGAACTCTCTTACTATGCCACTTTCATTTCTCACCATAAATGGTGAGATTTGGAGAGAAACAAATTGTTTGGTTGCATTTTTTCTTTTATAATACCAAGATTATCCATCAAAATACAAAGAAAAGAAAAAGAAATCTTGTTCATATCCCCATTTCACATGCTTTCCTTTCTTACTCATTCAAACATGATAGTGAGAAAACACAATCATTTCTTTTATTTTCTCATCCCACGATCCAATAATTGGTGATATTCCTCTAAATCAAATTTCAATGCAAAGAAGTTCTAAGTTGCCTAATCAAATAGAAAAAAGCTTAAGCAATGTAGAACTTCAGTCTTATTGCAGATGTTTTACTTGAAATGTGCATCACACTAGCGGTCTTGAGATATATAAATAAGTACACATGAATTCATGTGCATGCATGCGTACTTTTACCCATGATATGTAAGAAGAAAAATAAATAACAAACTCTCTTACCATTCTAGCTGCACGCATCTCCATCATGAAAGTTTCTTGTGAATTTCTTACTGGTGGATCATTAACCTACAATATAAATAGTTCTGTGATTACATCTAAAATAGATGGATCTACAAATTCTATTTCAATTATTTTTTAATGTGTATTAAAAAGTATGGTAGATAACCTCAACAACAAAAGAAACCACTTCTTGGAAGATAGAGAACTTTGCCGACCTCCTCTTTGCATTACCTCCTCAAATAGACGTCATAGTAACAAATTTACTCTACTGAAGTTATCAAGCATATGATTTACGGGCCAATATTGCTAATAATACCTGTATGTTCATGTAATGTTCTCTTTGGCGTTGTTTGGAACATGGATTTAAGTAGGAATTTGGAAAGGGAAAGAAAAAGGAAAAGGAAAAGAAAAATGCGAGGGAAATGGAGAAAAAAATCACATTTCACTGGTATTTTCCTTTTCCTTTCCAAATCCATGATCCAAACACAGCCTTTGTTGGATGTACAGAGAATCAGGCTATATTTGTAGAAGGCTCTTATAATTGTCAACAGGCGCTTGATATCTAGTTGTCAGCCTAATTCAAAATGCCATTCCAATTTGACTTTATTAGACATATAAAAAGTGATGGTGGGAATCTTAGGAAAGCCACCCACCCTCTACAACATGACATTAACCGATAAACAAAACAACAAAATGGATTTAAAAGCTTTGGTATTGACAGGCCATATTAAGTCAGCTTGCATACCAAGTCAAAGATAAAAATACTTTAGGCATCATCAAGGAGGTCATTGGCAAGCATAGACATTCCAATAACTCATACAGAAGTAACAAATAATTTATAGGAATCAAAATAAATGAAAATCATGATTTTAAATTTTAGTAATCTTCTTCCCAACTTTAATCCCATTATAAGTTGTGGATGTCTTCCTGAATCTACCTCATAAAATTCTGATAATCATGGAAACAAGAAATGCCTATAAGAACTACGTGTAATATAAGTTCCTAAATATAAATTAATATAAACAAGAATTTGGGGCTTAAATCTAAACTACCGAAATCAATATATTTGCCGACACCAAACTTCCCCAAAATATGTGAAAACTAGAATAGTAATTCCCATAATTATTTTAAGCCTTGAGACATTATTTGACTAACTACAAATCAACTAAAGCATTTACTGGCCTTGCTCACACTTTATATTGGATCACTGGTTCAATGGTTTATATGGGATCACTGGTTCAATGGTTACAAGTCAGCCTACTAACCTTGTGGTTCAGGGCTCAAATCCAAGGGCAACCACTTTATACAAATCATGTCAAAAGTTCGGTCTGTACCAAATCTACGCCTCCCACACCCATCAAACGGGAACTAAATTGGGTGTAATTTTTTACTCACACCTGCTTCATTCTTTGACGTGTTATCATGTATGGATTAAAGAAAAAAAAAAAAGTTGCTTAAATTATGCGAACTTTGAATTCAAATTGGATTCGGTTGGTCATCCAACTTAGTACTTCAAGAGGTCGTGAAATGGGTTTAAACATCAAACAAGTAGGTCACGTTACTACTATTAGTCTAGAAACCACAGGTCTTGGAAATTAGATAAAACCAAAGCTTAGACAATACCTACTCTCATACAGAGTCTATATAACGCAGCATTGAAGAAATGCATCAAAGATGATCCCATTTAGTTTTGCACTAAAAATAACCCAGCAAGAAGGTTCACAAAGGTGCGCACACGCACACGCACACGCACACGCACACGCACACGCACACGCACATATGTATATATAGAGAGAGTGAGAGAGAATACCCTGGCCACATTAACAAGGTAACTGAAATTATCAACAATATTTCCAATGTCATTATCAACTCTCTGCAACAATGTCTTCTGTTTTTGAGCTGCAGCTGCTGCTGCAGCGGAGGTTGGGCCGCCACCGCCACCGCTTCCACTACCACCTCCAACCCCTCCTTTATTCATTGTAGATTTTCACTAGCTGTTTGTTGCACAAAGAAAAACAGCTAGATTCAGAAATACTGAAATCAAATTTATAGGCTGATAACCAAGAACTAAAAATTCCACCTTTTTTACTTGGGTTTTCCAAGAACTAAAAAAATTCAATCAAACCCATGTGGTAAAAATGTACCAACATAATTATGAATCCAATTATCATATTAAAGTACAAGAAAAGACAATTGTAGTATGATAAATGCTTGACAAAGTGAAACCCACTTGTTACATGTTTAGAACTGACTGAATCATAATTGCATAAAAGAATCTACAAATCAAAGACCCAAATCAAAAACCCTATATTTTTGTTGTTTGAAAAAGCGAGTTTGGGGGACAAACCTCGTTCAATCTATGGCGTGAAAGAGCTCCGGCAGACCGTCGTTCTTCTCAAACGATTTCTTCTTCTCTCTCTCCCAAAATAGGGCACCAAATTTGTTAATTTCTTATATGACATTTAAATTCAAATAGACCCAATTAACATTCAGGCCTTTGAATGTCCATTTAACATTGAGGCCCAAAGTTTTTTAAGTTGAAGCCCAATTTAAAGGGTCCTCAAAATATAAACCTGTAACAGATGCAAACAGTGTACAATTCAATTTTTAAATTTTTATTTATTTATATATTTATTTTATGTAAGTGTTGTTGGACCAAATTGAACAAATATATATACATATATATAGATCAAATCTGAAGTTTGGTCAATAATGTGACAACAAAAATTGAATGAATTAATTATATTATCCATTGAAAAGACTTTGATGGATAAATTAGATGATACAAACTTAATTAGTGGTTTTGTTGCTAAAAATGCAAAAAAAGAAAAGAAAAAGGATAACGTTTAGGGATTTTACTAGCTAGTCTCAATAATTAAATCTATTACCCATTAGGTCCTAAGTTTCTATCTCGTGCACCAAGAAGTCCTGTTATATTTTTTTTATCTCGATTTTGCTCCTGCTACCAGCTGGTAAAAATCCCTATTTAAATCCTTCCAAACACTTTCTAAATCTTTATAATATTCATTACTCATTAATTTTTTTCAATTTGTATTAACTTCTCTCTTGATCATTTTTCCAAACTCTTCTTCTTTCTCATCTCTTTCTCTCTCTAGAAAATACCACCGTTGTAGCTATGGCCATGGCTATCCACTCGCAACCACCATCGTCGTCCGTCACTAACCACCACTATCTCCATCGGTCACCACCACCTCTTTCGCTGGCCACTACTACCACCATTGTTTACCAACCATCTCCTATCATCGCCAATCTATACTTTACCATCTCTTAACTATTTGACTCGCTTTCCTAACATTGTCGTCTTCTTTCTACTTTGCCATTACCGTCGCTCTTCTTCCACCTTACATCCTTCATCTGCCATCATTGTTGTTCTTCTTCAATCATCGATCCACCATCTTCAATGTCAAACTTCACTAATAGCTTCAAATCTAGTTGTTTTCAATGCCGATCTACCATCTTTGGCGCCAATCCGGTACTTTATATGGTTGCCAATAAGATCGAGACTCTTGCTGCAGTGTGTTGGTGAAGATCTACATTTGTAAAACATGTGTGAACTAATCTGATGAATTTATTACTTCATTCAATGATAAATTTATCACTGATTTGTTTAATATGTTGTGGACTGTTGTTGCTGGAATTTTGATGTTAATACAATGATCAATTTATCACTAATTTTTTTTAATGTTATATTTATCACCTCCCTCTTCCTCACTCCCTCTCTATCTTTTTATTTCTCTTAAACCAAATCTGTCGTATCAATGATAAATGTATCATTGATATATTTCTTTGAATCTTGTATTGATTTATGATGATGACGACGAGATTTTATTTATTTTTTTTGTAATCTTTTAACAAACAACTAGTGAGAAATTTATTAGTGAATGTGTTTATCACTGCTAAATTTGTTACTGAATATGTTTTTGAATCTTGTGTTAATTTGTGACGATGATGATGAGATTTTCCTGCTATAATTTTTTAACAAACATTCAGTGATATCATTCAGTGATAAATTTTTTAACAATCTTATGTTGATTTGTGATTATGAAAACGATATTTTCTTCTCCTTTTTTTTTATTTATAATTTTTAACAAACAGATAGTGATAAATTTATTATTAAATGTGTCAATCATAAATTTTTTTACTGGATTTGGCTTTGAATCTTTGTGTTAATCTGCAAATATGAAGAATTATTTTCTAGTAAGGACTCTTTATCCCCCTCCTTCATTTTCTTCGTTCTTTTTTTTTTTTTTTTCTTGTTGCCAGCATGGCAGTATTGACATCGTGGAAATGGAAAATGGCCAAAAAAAAATATTGTCAAAGGTCAGAAGTGGTCTTCGGTGGCCGGTTGAGAGAGAGAGGGGATGCATGGAACGGTTGAGCGATTTCTGCATGTTGGCTGAATGTCAAGGGTAAAATGGAAAGATGTACTAAATTATTTTGGGTCAAGAACTCATGAGAATTAAATCAGGTTTAAAGGACCGACCCGTAACTCCCTATAATGTTTGTGTGATAGTTGGTTCAATTGTAATATTGGTAAACTATAAAACAATAAAATTGAATTTTTATCTTTTTTGAATATTTTCATAATTTATAATAATTTAATGTGTAAGTAAATTTTTTGTTGGTACTCATCATTTTATTCAAAAACTTATATATATATATACACAAGGGCCTTATTTTTTAAATTCACCTAAGGCCCATAATGTTAGGCTAGCCCTCAATAGCTATACCCTTTTTAATGTTGTAATACATTCCACATATAGGTAATTTTCCTATATTTAACTAATTTTAAAAGTATAATCAAGAGTAAAACAATTAAACTTCTTAAAAATATTCACATCAGACTCAACAAATTTTAAGTCAAATTATAACAAAAAATCTACTATTATATTTTAACTAGCATTTTTTTGATGTATACAATTCATCAGGCTCTCTATTCAAAAATTTAATTTTATAAAATATTCATTTTTATTCATTTTTTTCTAATAATTTTCTTAAAAAATTCAACGGACAACAAAACAAAACAAAACAGCAAAAGGACATTGGGTGGTCAACCTGGTGGATGACTAGGTGGTCAACCACGTGGTAAAAATTTCCTGGTTTTGAGTCAATTGAGTCCGGTCATCCTGACTGAAGTTCGGATAATTGTCCTCTTTGTTGGCCGATTGTCCACAAACTGATTTACAGATTATCCAAATCTAAATCCAAATTACTCATAAAAAGATAAATTAAATCCAAATCACCTAGTAAACTCCCCATAAATAAATTTATAGATTACTTAAATCCAAATGGAAGAGAATCAATAATAAAATATTATATAACCGGTGAATAGTACATTGTTACATCAAGCAATGTACCGTAGCAGTGTCAAATTTTGTTTTGATATATCTAGGCTAATGCAAGAGAGATTTTGAACTTTCTTTGTCTAATATAACCCTAAAACTAGTATATGAAGCCTAATGCTAATGCTCTAAGCAAGAAGTAGAGGTTGCTAAGCCATTGGCGAGGCTCGAATGAGAAAATGGAAAAATATATTAATTGTAGTGTTGACACTGGATTTGGGATGGGTACTGTGACATCACCCGTGCTATCACACTCTGTGAGGTTTGTTTCGATCATATTTTGATGATTCAAACTGTTCATATTATAGGTTTCGTTGAGTATATCGTTTATATAAAAAATGAAATTAATCAGACAAGCATAACCCCACGATCAAGCTAAATAATAACCATACAAAATTATTAAAATTGCGCTAACCGTTTATTTTTCATAAACATAAATATGGTATTGTTGTGAGTTATAGATGTCTAATTAACTCGAATTTTTTCAAGGATGATCTACTCAATAAATACTATGCTATGAACGGTTCGGATCATTAAAATAAATTCGAGACACACCTTGACAGGCACACAACACGGTGCTATGCCAATAAGGTACAACACCAATCATGGGTTCTAGTGACACCATCTTACCTGGTGTTATTGGCAAATAAAAAGTTGTAAATTGGATTAGTTGGATAAGTCTTGTCTCCTGTTAACTCAACAATGTTATGATCCCTACCGTAAAATAAGATTGCTTATTATATGGCAATACTTACGTGGTACCACCGTTATATTTAATATTTACTCAAAAAAGGGACGCTAACCGTCTGAGATGAATCCAAGATTATTACTATGAGAATGCGAAAATATGTTTGGGAGTGTAAATCCTTATAATTTTAATTATTTTAAATTTTCTAATATAATATATAATATTTTTAAAATTTTTGGGAGTGCGATTGCTCTCATCCGCACCTCACTAAATCCATCCTTGCTAACCCTCAAGTTATCCTTGGCCTAATATTACTAGCTAAATGTTAGTGACATTTTCATCACTTATGCCTTTGGATATTGAAGAGTAATTATCTAGTATTCTAAAAATTCCATAGGGTCGTGGTGTATTCGGTCAATATCAATGGACTGTATACTTACATGACACGTAGACAAAAAAAAAAAATTGGAAAAACTATTGATTGAACACACAAACAAGCAATATTTTTGGAAGACTGCATAACTTCTGTTGAATTGGCCTTATGACTTTTATGCCGTTTTTGTTATCCTTAATGAGTGGAGAGATTGAAGTGATAGCCTCTAAAAGCATGTTTGGTTAAGGAGTTTGTGACCAGATTATTTATCCAGCCAGATTGACAATTCCATTGCACAATTGGATTAGCAAAGTAGGGGAGGGTATGAGATTCAAATTTTAGTCTAGAGGTTGTTGGTGGAAAGGATATAAAATTACATATATGTCCCCTTCCTCTTCAACCCTCTGTCAAATCATTCTCCACGCATGAAATGACAAAAAATGATAAAACAGTTTGGGGCATTTATGTACATTGGTTGTCTCCCATTTTCTTTTTTTATTATATATGTATATATATTATAATTATTCTAACATTTGTTAGTTTGAGGGCATTTATGTAATTTCAATTATTAATATCATACCGTAGTTTTACATTTGAACAATTTTATTTTTTATCTCTAACTTAATACCACCACATTACTAATATACACATTTAATCTTTCCGTACTTATATTTCTATCCAACCTAATTCACCAAACAAACGTTACCTTAAATTGAAAGTTACTACTTCTACTCCCCATGCCACTTCACCTACCACCAAGCCACTGATGGTAGAAGGGTGTTGAACAATAATGAATTGTTAGGGCCACATGAAATTGAGGTTATATAGGTAATCCTTTAAATGGACCAGGGATTGGTGCCAGAGGAGCAGGAGGAGAGTGAAATGTCAATGACATTTTAAAAATTATGAAAACAATAACGGTTGTTTTGATTGAAAATGAAGAGACTATTATAAATAAACCATATTAACTATGAAAATTTTTGAATGTAACGACGATGTCATTATTAGTGATATGCAAGTATAAGTAACCTCACTATAAATATATGAAATTTATTAGATTGTTAG